AGAATGAAACACTTCTGCTATCCACATTATCGCCAATGTGTGTAAAATGTCGCTACTGTCTTTTTCCTTGGAAAAGCAAAGCATGTATGCCTGTGCACAGATAGAGACATACAGGTGTGCACACACAGGAAGCATGGGACAACTGGCTAAAGAAGAGGCAAATAACCCATCTAGTGCTTCAAACTCTTGATGGTCCTTCACCCACCCGCACCCCCAGAACCAGCCTAGTTCACTTACCGAGTTCTTCGGTGCACACATGCCTGGTGGCTGCAACACTGTGCCAATCACAGACATAGTCCTGCTAGCGCTTCCCTGCCTCTCCCCTCAGCTAACTGTTAAGCAGCTGAGTGGGGAGACTTGTCTTCCTGCCTTCTCGCTCATGTCTACTAGTAAGGCTTTATGTCTCTATGTTGGGATATCAAGCCCCTCCAGATGATTTAGATATTTATGGTCACACTTGAACTCAGGGTATCTGTGAGGCTCCCAAGGTGGAAGCCATGGGACTTGAACTCAGGGTATCTAAATAAGGATGAGCAGCTTACAAAAATCAGTAAAAGGATAGTCTTGGATCTCAAGACTGTAGTCTAAAAGTCACCATACAAAACAGATTGGGTGGGGGGAGGAAACATGGGTACTAGATCTTTATTAACCTCTTACACCTTTTTAAAAAATGTTTTTTAGGGCAGGAAAGGGCAAAGCAATTTCCCTGCAATTGTTCCTTCTATGGTTGGTATTCAGCCCAGCCCTACCCAGTTCATTGTGCGTAGCTGATGATGTGGATTGCCCATCCTCCCTGTTCATACCACTGACATCGGTCTATGGCCAACCTATGGCTATAAAAGTGGATGTATGTAAGCCTCAGGCTCACTTCCTACAAAATATATAACAATCAATAGCGGGAATGGATTTTGCACAAAGAGATAAGACTTCAGGCACTCTCTACTCATGTGGATGTGCAGTCCTGGCACAGAAAGAGTTGATGCCCCGTGCAGGGGACACAACCAATATACCCTTGGTCTCCTTCTTCTAGAGATGTGAAAATATCTGTTTCAGTTTTGTTGCATTTCTTTGAATCTCTCTTGTGTTTTCCTTTGTTGTCCTTGTTTCATACCAGGATGCAAGACTTTGTGAGGGATTTGACCCAACATGGAACATTTTTTTACACATTTTCATCTAATGTGTTCTTTTGTTTATGTTTAGGCAAATGGGGGGGATGTGGTGGCACTGCGGGTTAAACCGCAGAAGCCTCTGTGCGGCAAGGTCAGAAGTCGTAAGATTGAATCCACGCGATGGAGTGAGCACCTGTCGCTTGTCCCAGCTCCTGCCAACCTAGCACTTCAAAAGCATGTAAAAATGTAAGTAGATAAATAGGTACCACCTCGGTGGGAAGGAAACAGCGTTCTGTGTCTATTCACGCTGGCCATGTGACCACGGAAACTGTCTTTGGACAAATGCTGGCTCTATAGCTTGGAAACGGGGATGAGCATCACCCCCTAGAGTTGGACATGACTGGACTAAATGTCAAGGGAAACCTTTACCTTTACCTTAGGCAAATGGACGTACTTCCTCCATCAACTCAGTCAGGCATGTCTATTTTTAGCTGTTCACGTTTTAGAGAATACATTATTACTTGGTACACACATTGGCCAGAATTTAACTAAATATTGACTTGCAGCATGACTTGGAACAGCAAATATTAATGAACCCCCAGCTGAGCTTCCAGTTGTGTGCTGGGTAATGCAAGTGGTGAATGACTAGGAATTACACTGCATTTATGCTGGCATAAATATTAAATTGGATTCTGGCCGCTGTTCTCTGAAATGCCTGGAAAGCCTTGTAATTGTGAAATACTCATGCTGGCCAGTTTCTCACATTAAATCTCGGTAGCTGTGAAAAGGCTGGTTTAACTGAGACCATCAAATCCAACAACATTTATTTTTCATCTCTATGACCCCACCCCTTGTGGGCTTTTCTGGTCCAAAGACATCATCCATACATAGATATTTTGATATGTCAAACTGACTTACTGTCTTTTACTCATTTATCGCATTTGAAATGATTTGTAAGTTATCTTTCTCCCCCGAAAAAACAGAACCCAGGGCACGTCTAGGCCATTATGAAATTAGGACATGGTAGGCACCACCTGCCTTGTCATAATTATGGTCTTTCATCTAAGGGGACATCACTAATGGAAAATTAGAAAGACAGAAAATTAAGATATTAGTCAAATATGCATTCAAAGGTTCCATTTTAGGATCTGGACAAAAACAAATCTTGGCAAAAAGTTACAGAGAAATATCTGGTTATTACCTAGTAGTAGAATTTAAAGTTCACATTTTTTTTTAATATTCTGACTGAAGTGATGAAGTATAGGAATAGCCTTTTATTTGAAAACAAGAAAATCATTAGTCTACTGAAATTTGTGGGGGATGAACACCAACAAGCTCTATGAGAAGAAAATTATTTTTAGGATATTAACCCATTGAGCTTGATACTTCTATATTTTAGATTAGCATTGGTCCACTACCAGTTGTGCCATGTAGAGTTTATTATGAAGCATTAACTATGAGTGGAAATCTCACTACAAGTCACCAGGTGACATTGGGTTAGCCTCTCCAACTCAACTACAAATCCCTCTCTCTGCAAGATTGTGATAACACCAGACTACTTTATACAGAGGGCGTCAAGATTGCTAAGATAAAGTACACATCACTCATTTAAGGTATTCAAAGAACTCTGCAAAGGCCAAACATCATCATTCATACTACTATAACCAATCAAATGGTGCTGTTTGCAGCAGCTAAGATTTTGGCCTTACACTTGTCTGCAATCTGGGTACAATGTGTACATTGAGTAGAGGTTTTTTCCTCACCTGTATAGCCTCATTACATCTCAGTTATTTCCACAGTGGTTTTGACAGATCATTCCTTCACTACCAAAAGCAGAGGAAACTCTTTGGTCCCTTCTCTCTTGTTTTCAGTTTATTCAGTTATTTCAAATCAGCTGTTCAGTAGACCCCCTGGCCTAATCTTGAGCATTTCCAGAAAAAGGGATATCAGAAACCGAGGTCTAGAAAAGCACATTGTCTGACATTTCCGAGAAGCATTACTGATGAGTGACTGAGCTTAGAAATCAATGTTACGAGTAATAGCACTACTACCAATTTGCCTTCTCTTCTTACAAAGGCACAACGACATTACACTTCAAAAGGTAACATAGCAGGTGGGCATTATGTTACTTTGTGCACATTAAAGATAAAGGTTCCCCTTGACAATTTTTGTCCAGTCCTGTTCGACTCTAGGGGGCGGTGCTCATCCCCGTTTCCAAGCCATAGAGCCAGCGTTTTATCCGAAGACAATCTTCCGTGGTCACATGGCCAGTGCGACTTAGACATGGAACGCTGTTACCTTCCCACCCAGGTGGTCCCTATTTATCTACTTGCATTTGCATGCTTTCGAACCGCTAGGTTGCCAGGAGCTGGGACAAAGCGATGGGAGCTCACTACGTCACGTGGATTCGATCTTACGAGTGCTGGTCTTCTGACCCTGCAGCACAGGCTTCTGTGGTTTAACCAATCCACAGCGCCACCACGTCTTTTTTGCTAATCCTTCCAAGAATTTTGAACAGAATTTTGCAAGTTTTATGGCATTCTGTTATGAATCTTAAGCCGCCACAACTCCAACCTGCCAAATAATAGCATTGTAATGAGAATCTACGTTTCTTTTTCGGAAAATGTTATAGTTACAGTAATGAATTATTGCAGGGGGCTTTTCAGTAAACAATGAATTACTTGTACAAAGTAACCTCCACTCATGGCGGTAAACAATACCTTATGGTAGGGATGAAAAGATCTGTACAGTGGTGCCCCGCATGACGATGATAATCTGTCCCATTGAAATTGCTGTTTAGCGATATCATCGTCATGCGATATCCGTTTCCTCATTGGAATGCACTGAAAACCGGTTTAATGCGTTCCAATGGGGAAAATACCTCGCCGTCCAGCGAAGATCGCCCACAGGGAAGCCATTTTGCGAGCACCAATCAGCTGTAAAAATGAATGTCCTGCGAGGCATGTGTCCGGAAAACACAGGGCAGCCATTTTGCGAAGCCGACAATCAGCTGTAAAAATCGTCGTCTTGCGAACAAACGGTTTGCGAAGCACGGACCTAATCAACTTCCTGCGAAAATCCCCCATTGGAATGACTTTTGCGAATTGTTATAGCGATCGCAGGAAGTCATTGTTATATGGATTCGTCGTTTAGCGGGTTCGTCATCTTGCGAGGTACCACTGTAATATGATTCAGTAAAGCAGATGTGTATACAGCCAACATGACGATTTACACAGACATCATGAGGAACAAGCTGTTTAAACTAGCTCTTTCAGAATACAAAGAATAATAAGAAGCAGTCTTATGGACTTTGTTCAGGGTATGGCTGAACTTCCGTTTAAAGTTTGCATCTACTTTTACTGAGATCACTATCCATCGTGTGTAGAAATACAGTAGCTTGGTTCTGAACGATATTTGGCTTTGCTTCACCTTCGGTCTTCTTCTTCTTCTTTTTAATAAGCCCCTTATTACACAAAGTTCTAGCCATTTTTCAATGGCATGGAAGTGCTTTCTACAGAAGCAAAGAGAGTGCTTTGTGTTTCCACATCCTGGCAAGCAACCAATACCTTTCGTTTTGAATGGCTTGCTGCTATTGCTTTGAAAGCTCTTTACATTTCCTGTGAAAACAACCCTCCCACTATCGCCCAAGAAAAACAGGGTGGAGCAGCTATAAAACCACAGTCTGGAAAGCACTCCCTTCTCAGAACTAATTCAAAGATTGTCATGGGGACAAACTGGGACTGGGGGAAAGCTCCGTAGAAAGACATTTCTGCTGCAACAAACATTGCTTAGCAATTTCTGCATACTTCAGGCTCTATATTGCAAATACTCTCTAAAAAATTTGTACCAGCATTATACTTCACCATTCATTCATTCTTCTGAAATACAAACCTCAAAATAAAACACTTCATCAAACTGTGGATTATTTGTCTTCTTCTTAACTTTCGTCTTTTTGGCTTCCGATCTGCAGGAAGAAGAGAACAAAACAGAGCACCATTATCCCAAATAGGACCCAGGTGCATTTTGATAATGAAGCCCACTCCTTCGCTTATTTTTAAATATATGCTAATTCTGGGTGTTATAATTCCACCCAACCCGAAGCTTGAAAAGCCAGATTTGGGACTGCGATGACCCGAAGCTCTTGGTCAGTACAGCCAAAAGATTAACTTTCCCAAGTTATGGTTCAATGACTTTCACAGTAAGCTTGAACGCAAACCCTGAGCTTGTGTCTATAAAAGGAAGTTATGGTCAAAGCTCACTGAGTCACAGTACTCGTCTGCAGAGCCAGTGGCCTGGGGTCTGATTCCCCACTGTGCCTCCCAGGAGAACAGCCAGTTTCGTCAAGCTGCACAGTCTCAGGGTGTCCCCAGCAAAAAGGAATGTTAAACCACTTCTATACTGAGGAAAACTCCAAGAAGGGTTGCCATAACTCAGAACTGATATGACAGCAGACAACTCTTATTAACATTCAAACGAATATATTCTACTCTTATCTGAACCAAAAGCAATCACTTTATTTCATTCAAGAATTTGCATGCTGCTTTCCCCCTTTCTGTCTACATAGTGATTCAGAAAAACAAGACAATAACATTTACCAAACAGGAAATCATGGCAATGAACATAAAACCGTAAAACATATTCATAAAGCCTCAAAAACATCAGGAAGAACAAAGGTGGATGCTTGTTCAGCAGAAATGTTGATGGATAAGCCGTGAATTCTTAAATACAAAATAAGAATCAACGCTACGGATCCATCAAAACTGCCGGTGAATAAACAGCTTTTAACCCAGCACTCATAAGATGGCAATAGCAGAGATCTCAACTTGCCTAACAAGTACACTCAGTGCATGTAGATCTCCTTATTCCCTTGTTTTGGATAGTGGTTGGTTGTTCAAGGCTAACAGTTTCACCAATCAATATCCAAAACAAGGGAATAAGGAGATCCAATATTAAATGAACAAACCCCCTCCCCCCAAAAAAACCACAGGATATCCTGATTTCTTCACTACTGTACTTTAATGTTTCACTACTTAAACAAGAAAAAAAAGTACATGAATCCAAGACCCATTTTCAGTGTCACTGAATGGAAGTAGTGAACTTCTGAACAAGTCCTCAGACTGATAGGTCTCGTTAGTTGCTCGTTTTGGGTGGTGGAGAGAGATGAAGAAGTAAACAGAAGATATAAAGGAAAACAGATCCTTTGATTCATCTTAAAGAGCTTATCAGAATACTGGCACTGTCAATCATAAGAACTCAAAATTACCCCATGAAAAGAAGTACAGTACTGATCAGGTGCCATCACATAAAGTAACATCCCATGTAGGAATTTGATATTAACCTACAATACTTTATAAGTTTCTTGTTTCATTTTTTAACATATTTTTAGGAACAGATGCTTTCACACATCACTTACAACAATATCGGAAGAGGGATTGATGACCAGAATTCGGTTATCTACATATGCTGATATAATTCAGTATAATTTTCAGTTATGAACGTAAAAAAAATAGGTGCTGGGTTTTTTTGTGACAGATAATTCTCCACTCAAAGTTATATTGATTGAGTGTTATGTGATCAATGCTGATGGGCATAACTAAAAGGATTCTGGCCAATAATTTTAATTAGAATAAGTGAACAGACAGCAAAAACTACTAACCTGTATGGTCCTGCTAAGGTAACTGTTGCATAAGGATCACACTGTCCATTCACTATGGGTAGTCCTTGGCATTCTAGAACTCTGAGTAAAGAGAGAAAAATATTACAAAACGTGACAGCGTAAGATACACTAGAAAATGCAGCAGAAATTGATATTTCGGGTTGTTTCTTTTACTTCCAGAAAGGAGATAAACAAAAGCTGTCAAGTGAATTTTCCACTTGTTGATTCTGATGGTTTAGGGGTGTAGGACTGCTTTCCAAATGAAATGACAAAAGGGGATCAACAAGGATTATGACAAGTTATTATTAATCATACAGAAAGGCAGAGTGATACGTATGTTAAAACTTTAGTTTTGAAGAGCAATACTCTTAAGAAGGATCAACCTTGATCTTGTTGAAGATTATTACAAACAGACGCTAACGGGACCACCTGCACTGCAGTTTCTACAATCAAGGCAAAGCAAAGGTTGCATACCAGGGTATGAGTGTGCAACCAAATATTAAGAAAAATATAGCAAAAGGTGGAACAAACATGTTGAAACAAAGTTAAAGAGGACTTTCGTCCAAAGGCTTCCAGGTGGATACGTTTTCATTTGAGAGCCTATATACACTTGTGTAATTAGTGTCACAGCAAAAGCAATCCATGAGCTTTGAGCTCAGAAGAGGTAAACTATGAGCTAATTCTTGCCGGATGCTCTGTGAATGTGGTATTAATAAAGTTTTTTCCCCCCAACTTGCATTATACTCTTCCAATTCATATGTGAAAGACTGGTCAAAATCAACACATTGCTTTGCCTCCCCACATCTCTTAGTTCAAGAGATCTTCAAAGAGAGAGCCAAGTCCCCCATGTATTTGCATTCCTGTGAAAACAACCCTCCCACTGGGCTCAATGTACAGAAGGTGTAACTCAGTACATAGCATCAGTACTATGCCCTTTTTGGTTGGTTCAATACATATATTATCCCACTATAGATTTTATACTGTTTTTCAAGGCCAACCTCTGCTTTTCAGTGACAGGTTTCAATGTCTTTACAGCAGCTGCTTAACCACATTTTAAACAATATTTGAAGGCCATGAATTTGTTTATGGTATTTGAAAACACTAAGGAAACACATCTCTGGCATCTATGATTATCTCCGGGTACTACTATAGAAATGTTTACTGTATGTTTCCAGATAAGACACAGGAATTCCCTTTAGATACTGCTGAAAAGCCATGGTTGATCCCTAGTGGATTCTTGAGGTTGGGGGTCCATCTTACACTGTAAAGCATGCTTTGAAAGCATGAAAGCATGAAACTCCATGTGGGATGCTTAACAGAGGAAGTGGGGGGGGATCCCTGTCAATCATCATATTGTCCTAAGAGAGAGAGAGTCAATTCTTTCCTAGCTGAACTGTTATATGAGCCAATTATGAAAAGGCTCTATGCTTTTTTTAAAAAGACCACTCAGAAGGTCTCTCTATTCCCATGTGTCACTGTAAAAAGCCAGATTACAGTTTCTTAACTGAACATGTGTCAAGAATGTTAATGAATATACTAACAAAGAGATATTTAGAGGATTTACTGGCTTGGGTAAATATTTTAGGATCTACCAATAAGATCCGGATATACAGTACAGATCTATTTCTGCTTCGGTATCAGCATTTGCTAGCATAATTCTCTACTTTATGAAAGAGAATAAGGAATAAATTGTGAATGTCTTGTGTGGTGGGGGAGGGAAAACAATCTAAGACGCAAGGAAAATGAGTGAAGCTAGAAACGGGCAGAGGTGAAAGAAACAAAAACATTGGAAGTAGGAAACATACTGTAGATAGGGAAGTCATATATGCTAATGATTTCTAATAACAATTAATTTAGCAGAATATTAGAATATTGAAGAGATGGAAGGATTGGGTCTGATGAAAGACACCAAGCTTTTAATGTAACAATAAGATATGCAGAGAAGAAAAGCAAGTTATAGGCTGTGATTTAAAATACCTAACCTATCATTTATTGATGGTGGTTAATCTTTTTGCTTCTCTCCATATTCAAAATCTCCTTTTATTAAGATCAACTGTGAATTCACAACAAATGCAATCTTTTGACTTCTCCAGAATTCTTCCTCCAGGTAGACAGTGACAATGGGAAGAGGGGGGAAAGCATGGTCCTTGGCCCAGAAATTGACTAGATATTTTAAGCCAAGGAAGTCTGCAACTATATCCAGCCCCAAAATGCTGAGCAGAAGTTTAATGAATCAAAGAGCCATGCAAGTATGTGGCTCCAACAAAACCACTGGGAAGAAGACTATGCTGATTTCCATTTTTGGGAAAAAGAAAGACAGAAACAACATTTGACAAATATTTTTAAACAAGTGAATTGATTCTAAAAATAAATATAATAGTAAAGGTAATAATAATAAATATAATAGTAAAGTAAATAGTCCAGAGGATGGTGCTGGGAGACAGTTGCTCTGCCCCATGGCATTTATGTCATGGCGTTCCTCAGGGCTCAATACTGTCTCCCATGCTGTTTAACATCTACATGGAACCTATGGGAGAGGTCATCAGGAGGTTTGGACTAAGAAGTCAGCAATATGCTGATGATACTCAGCTCTACCTCTCGTTTTCCACCAATCCAGGTGAGGCGGTTTCTGTGCTGAACCCGTGTCTGGACCTGATAATGGACTGGATGAGGGTTAATAAATTGAAACTCAATCCAGACAAGACGGAAGTGCTGTTAGTGGGTGCCTCGCCGGACAGGTTGGAGGGCCATTTTCCTGTCCTGAATGGGGTTACACTCCCCCTAAGGGACAGGGTCCGCAGCCTGGGGGTGCTCCTGGACCCCAGTCTAACTTTGGAAGCTCAGGTGGACTCGGTGGCCAGGGGTGCCTTCCTTCAGCTGCGGAAATTATACCAGCTACGGCCCTACCTGGACGAGTGGAGTCTCATGACAGTTACACATGCACTGGTAACATCTCGTATTGATTATTGCAATGCGCTCTACGTGGGGCTGCCTTTGAAGACGGTCCGGCGACTGCAACTGGTTCAGAATCGAGCTGCGCGGCTGGTGAGTGGTGGGGCCGCCAGAGAGCACATCAAGCCGATTCTGTATAATTTACACTGGTTACCAGTTGCTGTCCGGGCCCAATTCAAAGTGCTTGTTTTGACATATAAAGCCCTAAACGGCTTGGGCCCTGGATACTTGAAGGACCGCCTCCTTCCATATGAGCCTACCAGGCTGTTAAGATCTAGCCAGGGGGCCCTTTTGAAAGAGCCATCCCTCAAGGAGGTAAGAGGGATGGCTTGTAGACAAAGGGCCTTCTCGGCAGCTGCCCCCAGACTATGGACACCTATGATAGGGCCATGTTATTCTAGTACTCTTACCCTCATTAATATATTATACTGTAACTTGCCTAAAAGTTGTTCATCATATTAGAAGCCCAAGTTCTTGTTTATATAAACATATTTTAAAGTTGGAATAGTTACAGCACTTTAAGGCTAATTTCTTGCTGTGAAACACTTGCTAAATGATGCAGAATAAATTATGCATGCCTTTTCGTGAGTCACAACACCATTGTATACAGCCATCTGTACTCTGACTTTATGCAACATTTCATCTCGCTCATAAACTAAAAATAATTGACACAAAAATGTAGGTTTTTCAAAGAACCATGAAATCTGATTCCTCAGGTGAAAGGAAAGAAGCTGTAATAAATAAATATACACCTATATACAGTGGTGCCTCGCTTTACGATTACCCCGCATTACGATGAAACCGCATTACAATGATCTTTTTGCGATCGCAAAACGATGGTCTGAATGGGGTTTTTTCGCTTTGCGATGATCGGTTCCCTGCTTCGGGAACCAATTCTTCGCAAAACGATGATTTTAGTGGTTTCAAAATGGCCATTTTGGTGGTTTCAAAATGGCTGCCGGGTAAACAAAATGGTGCCCCGCTGTTTTCTGGGATGGATTCCTCGCTGCACAGGCACCGAAAATGGCCGCCCTATGGAGGATCTTCGCTGGACAGTGAGTTTCCAGTCCATTGGAACACATTGATGGGGTTTCAATGTGTTTCAATGGACTTTTTATTTTCACATTACGACGTTTTTGTTTTACAGCGATTTTGCTGGAACAAATTAACGTCGTAATGCGAGGCACCACTGTATTACATTTAAAACGTTGCTTCTCTCAGTTCTGATGCTCAGTCACTCAGTGTGGCAAGTAAGAGTTTCCTCCTCATTTCTTCCTTACAACAACATTGCACTTAGGTTCAACTGACCTGAGAGCTAATGACATGGAACAGTGAGCTTTGTGGTTGAAACAAGATTTGAACAACAGACAAAAACAGATGCTGGTCCTTATCATACTATTTCCTACCATATGCTAATTTAGTTCCCTTCTGGTTCCTATTACAACCTATTGCATGCCCTTTCCATACCAGTCTTATTCTCCATCTACCCGTCTTATGATTAGTTATGTGATGTTGTTATGTCTGCCACATTCATGTGGACATTTTATAGGACTCATCAAGCAAAACCACACTTATGGCCACCAAAGCTTTCCTACCACAGTGTGTCATGTGCCACATGACATATTCACTTCCTTTATACTGCCACTAACTGGGAGGTGTGTGAAGAGTGTTTGATCATTCAGGGTACAATGCTTTTCCAACATGCCACCATGTCACCACAATGTCAGAGAAAGTAAACAGTGAATCAAATATATTGAACATCTCATGAAGACAGTACTCGGCATTGGGATCCTGAGCCACATGCCCTAGGTCATATTTCACACCATGTTACAAATATGTCAGCATAGCATCATGGACATGCCAAGGTGAAAGAATAAGTGTAGGCTTGTAATGAAGATATCGTAAAAACAGCAGACTTGAACTAGTGTAGATTTATGTTGAAAAATAAAAATAGACTTCAAATGTACATGTATGCTCAGATTAAGCAGGAAATAGCACTATTTAGCAGTGGTGCAATGACGGTAATATTCAAACAGCAGAGATGGAGAACAACTGGACAAATCTGAAGTGTGAATAAGGAGCTGTTCAGGGAGCAGTTGTACTCTCGCACAGTTAGTAACACCCACTAG